AAAGTCGCGTCCCGACGCGACACGGCGCCCGGTGGCGTCCACCGGCGCCGCCGGCGCGCAAGAACATCGTCGTTCTTTCTCGAGCGGAGGCGAGCTTGCCACGACGAGCGCGTTCAGTTTGCTGATCGGGACGCGCCTCTCGATCACGAATGCTTCACCACGATCACACCCGGTCTCTGTTGGGTCTGCTGTTGCCTGTGGAATTGTAGAAACTCGGCTTGAAGTAGCCGCTGCTTCGCTGTCGAAGAGGTGGACGAGGACGTCGACGACTTCCCCGACGTGTTCGCTGTTTGTTTGTTGGTCAATGCGAGCGGCACGTCCTGCGCCGGCTCGTCGCTGAATAAATGGTCGCCCTCCAAGTGGCGTATCGCCTCGACGATCGTCTCCAGGTTCTGCCGCGAGGTATTCGCCAGGTATAACCTCGCCTGCGGTGAAGCGTCGTCGAGAGAGTTCGACGGCGACGGCAACCTGGAATTGGGGATTTGGCTTGATTAGTTTTAGTTGGTGCGTTTGGGTCTAATGTTACTTGTAAGATCAGATTTGAAAAGTTAGGAATGTCCGGTGAAGTTTTTTCTAATTACGATGTAAATAATGAGTATTGTTTGATATACGTAATGCAAATTTTGCTGTGTCCAACCTTTTTAACAAAAATTACATAAATTATAAAAATCATTCGCGTCAACCTTTTAGTTACAGCGAGTCTAGTCGCGCTATATCTCTGTAGAGCAAAGTTTGAGCAAGCGCGGTCTGTGTATCATAAATGTAACACTTCGATTTGAGACTAATAAAATTTTTCACTGTGTAATTGTGAGAGAATTAATTGTGCCGCTATAGTGATGTAGCGTTCGAAAAGATGATATACACAAAAGCCATTATAGTGACGTATAGTAATGAAAGGTTAAAAATTTAACGCAGCCAGTAGAGTATGAAATACTGATTGTCAATAGTATTGTACAGCCAATCGTTCCGGTAACTATATAATATTATGTATCGAACTGACGTTATCAGAAATGAGACTACCTACCTCTCAACTTCAACCTTCGGTTCCGCTTTCATCGCCGCCTCCAGGACACTAGGTAATCGCTGCGGTTCTGCGGCCGGAGAGAACGGCCTGCTGGGGCTCGCGGTGATGTACTGTGGCGACGTGGTTTTGAAATCCCCTGAATACGTGACACGACTCGACGAAGAGAACGAGTCGCCCGTCGTCTGCTCCTCCAACGTGGAGAACGCTTGGCTCTGGGTGAAGGCGACAATTTTCGGGCTGCCCGGCTCCGCTTCTTCCTCCTTGATCTCCTCCGGCACCATATCCGCAGGTTGCGGTGATAAGGGAGGCGAACTCGGGTCCGGACTAGACGTTTCCACGGTCTGCGTTGAACCGACTGGCGGCAGAGACACCACGGACACTACCTGAAGAGCAGCAACACCTTCCTCTGTCTCCTGGGCGATCACGTTGTCCGTGTGTTCGATCACCTGTGGACGAATTTTTTTATCGTACTATATGGAGAAAAATACTTTGACTTTTATCAGTGAGTAAGTGTATGTTATGAATTTATCATTTTTGGTTTATAAATTTTAAGTTCATGGATTTTTAATTTACAGATTTTTATAGTTCTCTATGCAAGAGATACGAATTCAAAAACTATTTTTCTCCACTGCTGCAGTGTTTAGGAAAATTAATTTAGTTCTTTAACAGTAATAATTATATAATTTTTCTATGGATTATCAGGAACAAGATCATATTAATTATTATTATATTTTTAATACGTAAATATGGTTGAACAATGATCAAAGTAAAGCAGACACCCAAAATACAGCAACCTTTGCAGATATTTTTTAATTTATTTGAAGAACAAATAGTCTAAGAGAGAATCTAACTGCATCGTGCAACAAATCAGACCATTTTCCTATAGAAAGCATTACAAAAAAGTTACAAGTTACATTCATTTTTTACTACAGAAAGACAGTGGTTCTCAATGCGACCGGTAATCACTTTTGTCGCGTTCCGTTATCAAATCCAGATCAAAATTCTGAGAAAGATTATTATTGTATACCGAATATTATTAACGTGTTTGAGTATACATCATTATTTTCTAACTCCCATATTTGTATAAATACTTTATAAATACCCCCCAATGGAAATAAATAATAATTAAATTACAAATCCTCTATCACATAAATTTCTTAAATGTTTTCAAGAGTCATTTCCATCTTTCGTTCACAAATGTGAGCATACAACATTTCTAATTTTATGTTCGTACAATTCGATACTAACAATTATATTTTTTACCAAATGGACTTTTACAGGATAAGCTACTAAAATGTTTATATCAACTTGTTGTAAACATATAATTCTAATTATTACAGCCCCAAACATTCTTAAATATAAAATAAATTTATTAAATTCTACAAAATTATTAATAAAAATAATTGTAAATTAAATTAAACCATAAATACTTAATTTTAACAAAATAAAAGACGCTAAAATTACTGAACTAATCATTATGAATTCTTGGTTCATAAAACCTACGCGTAATCGATAATATGTCATCAAATCATACGGTACCTCGTGCGGCTGGTAAGTAATCAGTTGGTTGTCCCGGTATCTTTCCGGGTAGAGTTGACTTTGTATAGCTCTCATCTGCTTTTCTAAATGCAGCCTCGCGTGGCGTTCCCTTTCCAACTGTCGTCTGAGCTCCACCACCTCGCTGTTGACCACGGAATGTCCCTCTGTGGTCACGGTTATTACCGACAATGGCTCAGGAGACATGCTGCCCAATCCCTCGTCACCGCTCTCGCTAACATGCATCGGTAGACTGACGACGACACCTCCTGAAATGAAGAAGCTCATTATCGGCGACCGCTATTAAGAACGCTTCTGTTAATTATTGAACGGAATGTGATGCCTAGTTAATCCACGAACGTCTCCCGTACGGAATGTTGAACGGATACTTCGGAATCTGATCGACTCGATTCTCTGTATCAGAAAATTTTCACATTGACGCATCAATCATTTTCCTGGTATCGTTTCATATACAAAACACAAGTTCACTATTTGTTTATTAATTAAAATATCATCTTGTAATAATAAAATTATTTTTCTCTTTCGATTAAATGTCGGGGAACATTGTTGAATTTTTAAATACATTCAATGATATTACTATATAAAATTTATGTGTAACGTATGAAGTATGACATATACAAAACTTTTAAAATATATAAGAAATGGTAATATCTTTGCCATGCTTTTATATTCCATATTGTTGTTGTAACAACAAAGAGTAGTGCTATCAATAATTTACCAAAATTTTGTGTATTCTTTTCAGTATAAATATACACCATGTATATTTCACGTAAAAGACCATAATTTTTCGTCATAGACCATATCAATCATTCTCTCGCGTTAATAATAAAAAAATTTAAGGGTAGGTCATAGGTAGGCCAGACGAAATTTCCGATTCTATTGATCGAATTTTTTTTCATTCTCCCGAAGAACGGAACAGAATATCCGGTGCAGCATGGTCGGCCTTCAAGAATGTAATTACTTTCGCGAAAATGATGAACGATTCTTCAATATTAATCTTCGCACCGTTTCCGACCGGCAAATTAAAAAATTCCTTGAGAAGTCTTCCCGATGACTCATTGTCAGTAACACAAAACGAGCTGTTTTAATCGCACAACGAATTAGCGTTGATCGAAGACACGTAGCATCTTGATTGCGTAGCACATTAAATCAGATTATAGATATAATGAATAATTGCATTCATATTAATAAGATAGGATTTATAAGTATAATTAGTCGCGAACCAATTAACTGCATGTAATATTAGATTGATGTAGGTATATTTTGTGCTCAATTATAATACTCATATTAACTGCAATAGTGTATTGAAAACAAGGAGTAAAAAAAATGTAAATTGTCTGTTAAGAGCAAGGTATTTTACTTATATAAAGCTCTAATTCATTACCAAACAATTATTATTATAATTTTTATGATTAACTACTTTCTTGTATTTGCTCACGTTATTATCTGGTCCTAGTAATATTCATTTGTACAAAGGTAAAGATTTAACTAAAAAATGTTTCAATGAATTTTTCATTAAATTAGAAACACCAAACACATTATTTAGTGTATCAAATTTTATCATCTTTGAAATGTATTTGTATTTTATACGAAGGATAACTATTACTTTACAATTTAAATTTAGTTTTATGGCATGTATAACAGCCAGAAATTTGTTAATCAGACTAATATGAAGTTAAATAAAATCTAGGATCTTTTGGTGCAGATAATCGCAGGAATAATTCACATCTAAAACACTCACCTTGGTTGTCCGGCTTACGTTTCTTGATCGGAACATCGCCACCCTCGTGCTGATTCACCAATCGTTTCAACTGACAATTCTGGGATAGCAGCTGGGTTTTCTCCTGTTCCAACTGGTATATATATTCCGCAGTCTGCTGAAGTATCGCAGCCTGAAAGCACAAAGTAGGACATTGTTAGACGATCTTCCTTATTCTGCCATTAAGAAGCGAAACATCGTTCACCATTGGCAAGAGTTTTAACACTGCAATATTTTAATTATACTGTATAAAATAATTTATTTCACGATAAAGCTACTATGTTTATCAATGCTAATAATATTGGTATATTTAAATAGAGTAAATTACATGACTGAATAGGGTAAGTCGGGGAGGGGTGCCAATTTTTTAAAAAGAATTATTATATCATAAATATCATTAATACCTAATCAAAGAAAAGGGAGGGATGCCCACTTTTTAAAAAGAATTATTACATCATAAATATCATTAATACCTAATCAAAGAAAATATATTTATGAAAATAAATACATACAGGAAGAATAGTTAAACAGACCTCTATGCAAGATTCAGTATATATCACTAAGAACAATTGTAAATATAGATATTTGGCAATTTAAATGAGATTGGGCCATTTCATCCGAAATTACCCTTCGTTCATCGAAAACGGCAGACAAGGATAGAATTTTAAGGGAGCCGATAATGTGTATCGAGGCTAACGAAGGCGAAAAGTGTGCCATATTTAAAAAGAAATGGGGACAATGGTATGCAACGAAGTGCAGGTGGCATTATTCATAACTTGCGTCGGAGGAAACAAAGCGGGAAGACGCTTCCTGTTTACGTGACATGAGCTTAAATAGTTTTACAGCCAGGCCACCACGGTCCTCCGCTTGAGCCGATAACATCCGGAGAGTGGTGACTATCGCGTGTCGCGCGTACGAGTCCATACTACGACGTAGTAAAACGGGAACCGGTGGAGGAGCCAGTGAAAACAAAAGGGCCAATTGATACCGAGCCGAAGGTAACGGGCTACGGCCGTACGTTTTGCACCTGCCGACAGGTGGCCGACGAACAGATGCGTCCGCCAATGATGAAGCTTCCCCCAGCGTCCTGACCTGCGACTTCGAAGCTAGAAAATGGCTACCAAAGCCGAATTCATGGTCCTTTCAATTGAAATTCTAATTCAGGGATGATTCTACGAATTCTATGAAATTATAATAGCAGAATTTTCGTGTGGTATGTTTATTCAACTTGGAAGATTTTTTTGAAAATTTATGTTAGAAGATTAAATTAAAATTATTATATAGGTATGAACGAAATGTTTCGCGTCGGTAAAAAATAAAATTTCATAATTTCGGTTTTTCTTTTTAATATCTACATTAAAATGTTAAAATTAATTTATTATGATTAGTTCGTTGTAACATATGTACTGCAATTAAAAGCTAGAGCTAAACATAAACCAAAATTATAAAATTATTATTATATAATAATATAGAAATATTATATAACATTATAAAATATTATAAAATTAAAATTACAAGAATATTTTCCGTCGTTTCAGGACACTACGCAGAAATATCGTATGGCTGCACAGTAAAATTATTTTAAAAGAAATACAACAAAGATAACACAAATATAATTTATTTTTATAGTAAAGGAATTATGAAAACTTCTTGCACGTGTCGCGTGCGCAGTAAAATGAAAATTAGTGGAAATAGAAAATGCAAGGTCTCTTAAGCACCAAGCTAGCGACATAATAAATTAAAGTTTCACGACTATTGGAGTAGTAGACGTATTTTATATAGTTTATGACTAGTGAATATTTATGTTTGACTAACAAATAGAAAAAAGACCTTTACATTACTACACGCAAGCGAAGTTTATCAACTTGAAAGTTACGATTTTAATGAAACCTTAAGAAAGTGTGAAATATATCGATCAACACAAATTGAACAATTTTTTTCTGTAACATTTATATTGAACAATGAAGACTATTAAATTATTAAATGATTACTTTAACATATTATTAATTGAAACAATCGGTTTCTATTCCAATTTTACGATTTCAAATTAGTCAACGAAAACACAAACGATCGAGTTATGAAGAGAGGAATCGACAATATATATATATATCAATCATTTCTTTCATATATTCTGCAATTAAAATATTTATCTATCGTTAACTACAACTTTATTATAATTACAACTTAATCAGTTATAAAACATGCGGAAAATTTATCTATGAACCGTGTACATGCATTTAGGCACCTTTTTATGGAAAATGTGATCGACTATTTATACAGATTCTATTCGTACATACTACTGATCTTTGTTACTTCTGTTCACCTTATTTTATTTATTTAAAAAAAAATAATTATTGATGACAGAAATCACTTACTGTTAGTGAAATTTGGTACCCTTCAGAACATGTTAATGATTTATAAAGACATTATTCTCCCTCTATAGTCACGCATTGTCGAGTTTCTCACTGCCACCCCACGTCATAAGTCACCGAAACTGTCGCAGAATCATGTGCAGAGTCCTATATAATCATACTGTCAACTCCAAGTAACGCTTTATAGAGGTGATACCATAATTCATGGTCATTCAATCCTTCAGAAAAATATTCTATCTGACATTACTTACAATCTTCAATTCTATTGATGATTAAAACCATCTTTCTTTTTCGAGATAAGTTAGTTTTAGTTCTTTAGAATTTACATTTTCAAAAATTAATAATATTTAATAATATATTTTTAATATCATTTTTTTTCATTTAATAATACATTATTAATTTTTGTTAATTTCAGTTACTTCGTGTAAAGTTTGTGGACTTCCTTCTTTGTAGTATACAATCTTCGAAACATCACAAATTTGTACATTACGTGGTCGATTAATTCGGTTGCGCATTTATAAGGAAGAGGATCTGATGGCAAGTAAGTTAATTTTCATTTTAAATAATATTTTTTTACAATATTTACTTGCAGAAAGTCCTGTAATTTTTTAAATTGTCTTGTATCTCATTATCCAGTCAACAAAAATATTTATAACTACAACACATATATTCATAATATTCAATTTCCCATAATTAAAAACAAACTGTCGATAGTTAATATGATATAGAAATTGTTTATTCAACAAAGTTTAAGTGTATACAGTAAATTTTCTATTTTATTGTAAATCTTATTCTGCAAAAAGAAATACTATCAGATGTTTCATTATATTTTTCATATCATTTTTTACATGTATTAATGTTTAAAATTCTCGCAAATTACTATAAAAAAAAGTAAATTTCACGAACGACATTAAAGTCTATAAGTATACATTCGAAGTGCAATAAGAAAAGTGCAAAAATGAGTAGCAATATAGGAAAGTGACAGTGATCGAACTCATCCATTTTTCTCTGAAATTATTTTCAAGGTGGATCGATTCTTGAAAAAAGCTAGAATGAAACGTGACAGAACAGATGACTTCGATTACTATCACTTCTTCATGTTCGAATTCATTTCTCGTAATTCATACATCACATCTTAAATAAATGTTTCAAATGTTTTCATTCTTTAACAGAAACCCTTAAAAATGAAATTTTCGTTCTAAAATGGAACCAAAAATAACCATTACGTGCAATCCTCTCTGCTCCTCGATTTTCACGACTGTTGCCATCGCGAAAGGGGTTAAATTCGCCCCACTTATGTGGTTTCAGGAGTATCAAAGCGGCGGAGTCGCCATTTGTTCCTAACGTTTCGCGAGGATTGGCAGAATTTCTATCACGCTTTCCCGTGGGACTATCGAATGTCAGAGAAGTTCAGTTTGTCCACGAAAACGCTCAAGCTTCTCGCGTACTCAAGACTGGCCTGCGATTTTAAGCTAGCGTCGCCTAAAGTGATTTAAGGACACACAAAAAGGCATCACAACAAATTGGACGGATCGATGTTCGAGCAAGAAATCATTAAGTTCAAATAAAAACAAAAGCATATAACAGCATAACCCTTTATGAGCCCGTATGATTTTGAAGTCACATCAGTATACTGGGTTAAATTGATTTATTTAATTTTTTACCGTAAAGTGATGAATAAAATTAAAGAATTAATCAACTTAAACTTTTATACACACAGAGGTAAATGTTCAACGTCACTGTAATTTAAAAATTACAAAATGTATTCGTTTTAGTAAGATTATTAAAACTATTGAATACATTATTCATTAGTATTTATAGGTTCATATTTATTAATTTCATATTGCATAAATACCGTTATAGTCAGGAAATAAAATTCAGCTTATAGAGGGATAAACGATGCAAAGAAATTAAATATTGATTTGGATACAGTTTTAATTTTCTAACTATATTGTCAGAAATGTTTTCCTTTTAGTTATTACTTTGTAGAAAGGTATTTTTCTGTAAACGAAAAAGTAGAATTTTCTATGAAGAAGAAATTGAAAAATTGCATATATTTGGGAAGGTCGGAGTGTATTAGCAAAAGTTTTATTTCATTGCAAAGAATTGATAAGAAGTTCAATTTTTTTTAATTGAATTGTATATAGTGTTTATGCGGTGACCGTTACTTTGATGAGAAATTCAATAATTCGAATATTACTTATTTTAAGGTCAAAGGCGATTGAATTAACAGAGTTTTGTTTTGAAGTTGCGTTGACTTGCGAAGTCACGTTCCTATTTAATATTCTAGTCTTGAGAACGGTTCACTTGTTTAGCAACATGTTTTTGTTTCTATTACTTACTTGTTACGCGTTTGTTTTTGTTCTTTCATTCCTTCTTTTTTTAAGGATGCAACGCGTACTTGTTTTATGACTCAGCGCTGCTTGAAATGTACTGAAGTCGATGCTAAACACTTTGAATACCACATTTGAATGTTTCAACCCAGGTAAAAATGTCGGTGACACTTGCAACATGTTGATGAAGTAATGAGAAGCTTTAAAGCATTGGAGATTAAACAGAACGTTACTATACAGCAACATATCAACAGTCGACTTCTAATTATAAAATTGACCGCCTTTATTACAGATTCATCCGTTCATTACAGATTATTATACTTCGTATTTTATGCAAGTTTTGCAACACAAATTTTTATGGAATTTGAATTGGGTAAAACAAAAATATTTTAGAATATGAAGTTAGGGAGTAGACCATGTATAATCTT